AGTGCCGCGGGAGGCGGGGAGGGGGGCAGCCCTCAGCCTCGCCAGGAGCCTCGCTTCTTTTCGCGGGTTCCCCTTGCAGCTCCCTCCCCTCGCTGCTTCTCCTGGGGATCTCAAGGCGGGGACGAGCGGGTACCTGTGGGGACTCGCCCCAGACTGCGGCGTCCAGGCCCAGCTGCTCGGCGCAGAGGGCTTCGGCCCGGCTCCGGGCGGCGCGTCTGCAGCGGGAGGTAAGGCAGGGTAGCAGGGCCGGCACTGGGAAGAAGTTGAACCGGCGAGGAGACACACAAATGGGGTGCCTTGCCTGAATAAACAGCCACCTGTTTGCTAGGTGGAAAGCGTTTAGTGCTGGCAGTGCTACACAGAGGGCTGCTGAAGTTTCCCTTTGGGTCTGAATGGAGAAAAATGAAAAATCAACAAAGCTGGTGTACAGAAGGAATTGGTAGAAGAGAATACATTGCGACAGGTATACTTTATTTTATTCTCCCCTGTCTACATACTGTACATGTGCTGATCTCACTGCTCTAACCTGATATTCCATGGTTAAAAACATTCTGCAGGTTGTTCTGCCACGGGTTTTGTTAGAGTAAAGCTGTCCTTTGTGACTTTTCAACTATATTCAACTACAGTTTGCCTTTCTCCTTTGAAGCTAGCTATCTTGCTGCTTTTGCAGTCAGATAGAAACCACAGCTTGATTTCCCCTTATTCATTATTATCTGCCAGATAATAATTCTTCAGTCTTAGGAGACACTGTAATTCCTCCATTCCTCAGTTCCCAATCTGCAAAATGAAGGTGCTAAAATGTCCTTTTTTCCCAACTTCTCACTTTAGACACCAAATTCTTCAGAACAGGGAATTTTACACCTATGCAGTGAATCAATAGACACCTGTACAAAAATACAGACACCCAGAGAAATCTAAACTTATGTATCTTCATATCAAAATTGATCCCTCTAAAAGTTTTAGCTACAACCTCACTCTTAGATGCCCTGATGTCCCTTATAAGGGGAAAGCCATTGCTGAGTACTCCAAACACTAGAGTGTTTGGAGTATAACTAAAGTGATGACCAAACTAATAACTGTTAATTTAAGCAGTTGTATAAGCTACAGTGCACGGGTTTCTAAAATTATATAGGCCAGTTAGTTCCATGTATGCTTGCCACACTATGCCCCCTGTGTACTGCTGAGGAAACCAAAGACTCATCCGTGATATGTCGGCACAGAGCCTTTGTGTTGTGGATCCTAGTCAGATGCGTAAATCTTCCATCATGTTAGTACCTACAAAATAGGTAGATGGTCATCCAGCGGCATACCGTTTCCTATAAAGTTCCTGGGTTTGTAATTATGTATTGTTTTACATGTACAGTCATTTTCACCCATAAGGTGTTTGGCAACTTTTTTTCTCTGTCATCTGAATAAATAGTGAGTAGAAAGAACTTTTGGAGGCAGTCCCAGGGCTAAAATGTTATAATGAGCCAAAATTGTCCCTATGGATGGATGAGCTGCACATTCCTCCATGTCACGTCTCAGGAGCCATTTCTATCACTCAGTCTTGCAATCTGACCAACAGACGCAGCCTAAAAGAACGATTCAGGCTGGAAATCACTGAAATCACAACCAGCCCTGCATAGATCACAGAACTGTGCAGGAATATGCACAACTGGGGCCAGCTATAGTGAGCCCATGTGGCCTCTTCTGTGTCTAATAGGCACACTAGATGCTATTGCACATGTCAGTTATAGAGTGTTAACTGTTGCTTCGTCTTTATCAACACGTGTGCAGAAAGTGTTTCCTGGAGCAGCAGGTAAGCATCATTTCCAGAAGGGATGGCATCACCTCTAAAGAGTAGTGGCTCTTTAAGATTATTAAGAGATATATTTGATATTTAACTTCTTATTTCTCAAATGTACCATTGGAAACATTTCACTTCTCTGAATAGGGTCTGGACAAGTCCTGAGGGAGTATTTCATGCCTCTTGCAGATGATGTTTAAGGAATTAAACAGTACTGGAAATTCCTCAAATTCCATACGAACTTGTCTGAACACAAGAAAAAAAAAGGAAACTTGGTCTGGGGGATGCTGTGTCCTTCAATACCTAAGGAAAACACTCCTATCAGGTGTTCAGCAGCTAGTTTAATAAGGCCTGAAATCACTGTCTGAAACTTAATTTTATAGAAAATGAAGACACGGTTACCAATTAGAGGTTGTGTTACCATGGGAATGTTGATGAAAGAGCTGAACCCCAACTGATTTGTCTTTTCTTTGCAAGGCAATTTAATTTTCTACTGATAAACCAGAGGTGGTGCTGATTTAAAATTCTTTACCTTGAAACCTCCATATCAGTCTTCAGGTTTAGAACATTTTTTATGCAATTAGCATGTCCTTGAGGTTCAGTGCACTCAGCGAAGCAGATAAAGACATAAATGTGGGGGTTACTTTCAAGAAATGATGCATCTGTGAAGCAAAAACAAAGAGAGTGAAGAGTAATGTATGATGAAATAAAATCTCATTTATTATCTAACATTTGTGTAGCTGTCAAATATCTTTCACAGAGTCTATGCCCTGTATAGTCTCTAGGTTGACGGAATTGCAGTCCAAATAAAATGCTGTTTCCTCTGAATTTTATGTTGTTTTCCTTTGTGTAATTTATTATGGATCGCAGAACTGCCATCATTTCTATGTATCTATGGACTGATGTCATATATAGCTATGGTTGTTGTTATAATGCTGAGGTAAAAACAGTACAAAATACGCCACACTGCAACTTTGAAAAGTTAAGATTTAAATTTAATCTTCCATTTGTGAAACTGAAGAAAAGTTTTACTCTGTTAAAAAATAACTTGTTGTTAAAAACAAGTTATAAAAGTTATAAAAAATAACATATGTTGTTATAGTCTAAGTGTAAATGAAAAATGTCAGTACAATGCCTATTGTATTAAATAGTTGTTATTTAATACACAGTTCTGTTTTTACAGTGTTATTCATGTACTTCACAAGTACATCTACTGCCCAGACTACTGACTGTCTGCACTTGAGAGAGAAATGTATAAATGCTGCAAATGGCTGTGAGAGTGTCTGGAATGTTGTTGAAGATGTCTGCAATATTTCAGGTAATTCTTTATGGTGTACACGGCTTTATTTTGAATTGCCAAATGGCTGCATATTCATAGCTTATCATAAAATTGCTGTGGTAACCGAATGAAGTCAGTGGGATTTCAAAGAGAAAATGATTGCAGAAGACAGTCAACTTCTGAAATCCTTGATAGTGGCCAATATTATTTTCAATAACAGTCACACTGTCTCTTCAATGAGGTGATAAATGAAATTTCTGGACTGTGAAGGAAGTTAGAGTCTGAACCAACTCAGAGTCTGAATTCAGCAGAAATTATGCTCTTGTGGGATCCTATTAAACAAAGGCAGGATGCAGCCAGAAAAAAGTTCCAACCTTGCTTTCCATAATTCGGAGGAGTTGGTCTGCCCTCTCCCCGGCAGTGTTCAAGGCCAGGTTGGATGGGGCTTTGAGCAACCTGGTGTAGTGGAAGATGTCCCTGTCCATGGTGGGGGAGGGTTGGAACTAGGTGGTCTTTAAGGTCCCTTCCAACCCAAACCATTCTATGATTCTGTGATCTCACACAATACCCAAACCAATGTATTAGTTACTTAGAGTAATTTTCAAATATTGTATTAGCATAAGAAACAAATCAAATAAAGCATGCCTCAAAGAAAGTTGTGTTGTAAGGAGGCAAGTTGTATTTATTCAGTGAGTAGTACCTACATGTCAGAGTGATTCACTTGCAGGGAGTGATGGTACAATAAAGTGCAGGTTGTGATGTGACTAAGCCTCCTTGAATTGTTGAACACATTATCACATAAATGAAAGTAGAAAATCAGTCTCTGTCACTGTTTATTGCACTTCCAATGCTTGGTGCATCATTTCCGAGTAAAGTATGTTTTAAGTGGGGGAAGACCAGGTATTATAAGCTTGACCTGAAACTCATCCTAATCTCTGTTGTTCAGATGAAAGTGTTCCTTCCTCTGAAGGCCCTTGAACAAACCTTGGCTATCAGTCACCATCTCCCTCTTTTTTTTAAATCCCTCCAAGAACTTGCTGTTAAATGTTGAGTATTCACTTGCCAGGTGCTATGAATATGGAAGGGAGGAGAGTGGTAGTGTCAATACCAAGCTACTAATGATGCCTTTGTTGACTGATAAATGTCAAGGGCCTGGATCTGCCAAGGCTATATCAGTACTAGCAAATAAAATGGGCCAGGGACTATTTTCTGGCTCTGAGTTCAACTGTCATGGGGCAACATGTATCTAGCTGTCTTAGCCCCATGCTGGCTGCACAAAACCACCTTTTGGGAGTGACTCCAGGCCCACCCTATCTCCATGGTCTAGCTGGCTCAGTCCAGAACAGGTGCCATGCAAAAGTGCAAGAGTATAGGCACAGTCACTTGCCATTAGCCTAGCCCATGCCTTGGTCCTGTTCATAAATGCAGCCAAGGGTATTTAGGTACATATCTGCAACTTAATGACAAAAGGCAGGTTTTCTGTCCCTGGGAATCAGATCCTTATCTCCATGGAAACCTCCTTTCTCTTTATAGTGACGTTATTTGAACAAAACCATCCATGTCCTGATGCCATAATCTGTTCTGAGACTCAGCTGCAGCAGAGTTGACAAAGTCAATGTCCCTCTGTCTGTCTTGATGTCAGGACCCAGTTTCACGTTTGGTCTGTGTGGGAAGCCAGGCAGCAGAAGATGCTGCCTGACCTCATCCTCAATAGTCCATTGCTAGAACATTCACCTGCAGTGTGAGCTACCTGAATGCCTCTGTCTTGTTTGTCGCAGAGATTTGAACTCAGGTCTCCCAAGTCACAAGGCAGTATTCAAAAGAATTAGAGCAGAAAATTCTCTGAGGCATCCTTCTTAGTGTGTCCTGTTCCAGACACATATCTGCTTTGCATAGAATGGCTGAATACTTTTAAGAAGAGACAGAGTAAATGAAAAATACTTGATAACTAATGGTTGTAACGGTCCCCAAAGGAACTGGGTTTGAGCTCATATTCTATTGAGTTTTTAAATATTTTATGTGAAGTGAAACAGTTTCGAAAGATATGGCTGCTGTTTAAAAAAAAGTATTGGAATATGCAGTACTTTCAGGCTCAAGACAGTGACCTAAATATGAGCATTCTAGAACCAAACCTCTTCCCCAAATCAGAACAAGTTGAATTTGCTTCTCTCACATCATTCATGAAGGTGTTAGCACCAAGAATACTTGGCATAAAGATCACGATTTGTACTGTTGCCTATTCTTCACCACACCCTGCAGCCAGGAAGTGGCCAGCATGATGATGACTTCTGCGGTCTCCCCTTTGGATTTGTTGCATTGTCCCATAATATGTGATTTCCCTCACTTATTGTCCTCTGCACTTATTCACTGATAATAAGGGTATTTCTAACTAGGTCAGAGAAACCTTCTGCAAATGAACTCTTTGTGTGATTGCTTGTTTGGTTTTGCATCTGTATATTTCCTTAGGATAATAGACTTTGGCAAGGACTCTCCAGCATTGCAGGGCACTCGGATATTGCAATGAGTCCAGGACAAATTATTCCAAATGTGGTTATTAGGTGCCATGACCCCAGAGGGTGGAAACCCACAGTCAGACAGCTGATGGTACCTCTCAGAGAGCCCACAGAAACAGCGACAGAAAATCTACCAGCAACATTATTAGTAAGAGTAACATTATAATGTCTGTCAAGAGTACTCTACATGTGCAAGACTAAAAACTTCGTGGATTAGCTGTATTAATGGAAAAGGCCCTTCAGTGCTAAGCATAAGAATGTTGGCTGGAGGCAATAGGCAATGGGGAAAATACTCCTTTTGCTAGTTTCTTTATGAAAAACCTAACTACAGTTGAGAATTATACTCCTACTCTGTGTTTGAGTTCAGTAACTCAGTCGCTGAGGACGTAATCTCCAAGTTAAATGTGTGCATATCAGGACCTCCATCTTTTGTTCTTCAGGGCAGGTCTGGGGGCACTCTTCAGGTGACTGCCTAAGTCATTCCTTTCTCTGTCAAACTGTCCATCACTGCTTCCCTGCTACTACAGCCGCATTTTCAGAATCTCAGTTTATAGCCCTCTGAGTCCAAGCCTTCTTCCGCTTCCTTTTCTGTGCCAAGATACAGTGAAAAAAAAGAGGGAGATGAAAGTGTCTGTGAGTCAGCTTCCAGGTTAGGATTGAAAAGACCGAAATACTTAATTTTGATGGAATCAAAAGTTTTCACTTTGAAAATGTAAAAAATGTTTCAGCATTGCAGGTTTTCTGGTTTTAAGGTTTGGGGTTTTCTGTGGTTTTTTTCTTCTTTTATTTCACTGAAAAAAACCCCAGAAATTTCTGAGGTCTGATTTAACCGTCAGCATACACTTTCTTAATTTTTCAGACATCTGGGTTCAAAAGAAAAAAAGAGAATCTCAGATCACTTAAATATTAAGGAATCACATTTTGAATTAGATTTGGAAGAGTTTATTTTTCTTAGAATAACAGAATCATTGAGGTTGGAAGGGACCTCTGGAGATATAGTCCAACCCCCATGCTCAGGCAGTGTCAACTGCAAGCCATCTGCTAGGACTGTGTCCAGTTGAGTTTTGAATATCTCCAGTGGTGGAGGCACCAAAACCCCTCTGGGCAACCTCTTCCACTCTTAGATCACCCTCATGTTAATTTTTTTTCCTTTACATGGAATTTATTGTACTTCAGTTTGTACCTCTTGTTCTGTCACTGAATACTACAGAGGAGTCTGTCCCTGCCTTATTCACCCCCTTTGCATCAAGTATTTATACACACAGCTATGTGTACTGCTACACTCCTGAGATTTCTCTGCTCCAGGCTGAGCAACCCCAGCTCTCTCAGTCTCTCCTCATAGGACAGATGTTCCAGTCCATTAATCACATCTGTGGCACTTTGCAGGAGCCACTCCAGTATGCCCATGTCCCTCTTCTTCTCAGGAGCCCAGCATTGGACACAGCACAGAGGAGAAAACCCAGTACTTTCCTCTGCAGTCTTCAGATGCAATTCCCACTGAGATGACTGAAGAGCTGACTGTGCAAGAACAGAGATTATCACCCTGGAAGTGTCAGCTTCTACTCTATCATGCTTCTATCTATGAATTATGTACATACAAATAAATTGAATTATGAATAACGGCTGCCAAGCATTAGGTCAGAGAGCATTTTTTGTAAATGCCTTGGAAGCATATGTATAATTTAAAACATATTCCCTAGCACTAATCAATGGTAAAGTAACAATAATTGAAAACCAGCAATAAAGTATCTTCTGCTGTTCATCACAGCTGAATCAACACAGTGTACAAACAGACCAATACTGATAATAGGTTATTTCTACACAGCTTTCAAGAGGCCAGGCAAGGGAACCCCGTAAATCTGATGTGCTTCCTGATTCTGTCTGTGCCCTTTGTATGTTCATAGCCCCACAACCTACATTTCACCCTCTGGTTGTCAGCTCTGAACACAGGCCCTGTACCTGACTCCTAACCACAATTTGTTAGTGTCATGAAGATAGATGAGCTAAGTGAGGCTGGGGTGCTGCAAAAAAAATATACTGGGATTTGTGTTACTCTCCTACCTCTACTTACCTGCAACCTTGAAGCATCCTCAGGACCTCGAAGAAGACAGTCATAAATTTCATAAGTAAGCTAACTTTTACAGAAGCCACTCCTGACCTCTGGTGCTCTTTTTCTACTGGAATTTGTCCTCCTGAAATCCTTTTATTAACCCTTACTCACTCAATAAAATGTAGAGTAGAATATCCACCCACCCCACTCCATGGGCCTCCATAGTTCCCATGTCACCACATACTTTCTACTCTGTTTTTATGATCAGGGTGTGTCCTGATCTTCAGTCCATCTCCTGAATTACTGGAAAAATAAAGAAATGTGGAGGCTAAGGGTCAGGGTCTTGCTCTACTTCTAAAAATGTATAAGGCAAGTTGGAGATGGGGTTGGAGAGACACAGGCAAGCTCGGGCACCGTCACCTCCTCCTTTGCTGATACAAGAGGTAAAGTGTGAGCAGAGGCTGGGATTTGTAGCTCTTGCTGGACTGTGACATCCCCCTGTGGCAGTGCACATTTTAGTACATTCCCAAACCCTCCTTTGTCAGCAACAGAAACAGCAACTGGAGAAAGGGCAATGCAGACACTGTTTGGAAAGGGATTTTGGGGTGGAAGGATGTGGATGTGCACTCTGGAATAGCTGATACTCATTCCTTCAGGCACAGGCAAAATGCACTGTTTCCTCTTGCAAGCCTTCTCCTAGACTGCCTTCCACTGCTATTTGTGTCAACAACTTATAAATGACATTAAAAGTCTAATCACATTAAAGCTTGTCCGTGGTGGCAGGGACACACGGCTGCAGCTTTGCAGTTTTACTAGAGCGCGCAGTCTCTGCTGCTCCGCTCTAGTCACCGGGGAAGCAGCAAGGCAGGAAGCCAGACAGCACCCTTGACAGGGCAGAGACAATAGGTGCTCAGTAGATTGACAACGATCCTTGTGATGCCCCGTGACCAGCCTGGGTCATGTGAGCCACATGCTCCTTATTGTACACGTTGTGAGATATTTAATATCTATGAGGCAAAGAGAGGAAATGTGCTGGTTTGAGGACCTGCATACCTGTTTTGACAAGGTAGATCATGGCTTTCACAAAATAAAACTTTCTTAAAAGGTATTAAACTGCTTCTTATATAACCTTCTTAATTAACTTGTAACTTTCTTAAGCAATAATAAGTAAAGAAGTACTTTTAAAACCTTTTAGTCCATGAACTAGAAGGTTGGATGATTTACCTTTGTACCACAAACTAGTACATGCCCTTTATTTTCACTACGCATAAAAAGAAAATATGACCTGACAGCCCGTGAGAGTGTCTTTGTAATTGAGTCCAAGTGCACACACAACAGGCTTGAAACCGGACTGGCAAACAAAGGCTTCTGCAGATTTTTTTAATGTTAAATTCTCCCTTATTTTTATTATAAAAAAAAGCAAAATCGGAATATTCTCAGACTACTTTAAATTCGTTGTCATTGCCAAACTTAGGCAGTGAAGTTATTCTATATGGTAGCAGTCTGAGGGCCTATCCAAATGGCCAGGTATTTGTAGGCTTGTGCCATCCTCACATAACTGAGGGATCTGAACCAGAGCTGACATCCCTCAGGATGGGGTTAGCAAGAACAATATCACAGGACTGCGCCTGCCCTCCTATGTCCCCTCTCCATTATGTGGCAGTACCTTAGCCTGCACTGTGAATTCCCATCCCTGTACCAGGCAACTCATTTCTACACAGGACCAAGTTGAGTCTTTCAGTGCCTCAGTTCGGGGTGTCCCTCTCGACTCCTGTGCGCATTTTTAGTTTGGTCTCTGTACCTCATCTGCCTAGAATAAATGAGTTTAAGGTTTTATGTATGTACTTTGAAAATGAGAACAGAAACGGATGTTCTGGCAATTGCTCAGATCAAATAAAAGAAGGCAATATCATACCCACAACTTTATTATATCACTCTGAATATTATTTAAAATTTGTAAATTATGACAGGTTTCAAAACAAAACTAAGTTCAAACCATCTTCTCTTGGCAAAACATACTATTTTTATGCTTCAATTGAATTGTTTTATGTAACCATATCCCTTAAGCGTTCATTAACATTAACAACATTATAATTTTAATGGTGAGTTCTAGGTAATAGATGCAAGGCAGAAGACGCTATTGGATGTAATAGAATCATCCAGGTCCTGGCTGATGAATACCCAGAATTTAAAAACTGTCTCTGCACTACAGACAATTTCTGTAGCATCACGACTTTGCTTGGGAAACAGTGCAGCATTGATGAAGGTAACTGAACATAAAGATTTAATTGTGAAGGACAAAAAGAAATATATAATTTCCAACCTTCATTTTAAGTGGGTTCAAGTTTCTTTGCATATTTCTCAAATATAATAAATCCCCCCCAAAATTAGTTTTGTCTTTTCTATGCTACTCACACACCAACATGCATATGAAAGCAATGTCATACCTACTTCAAATTAAACAAAATTAATAAAAGGCATGTGAGACATTCAAATGCTTTTTAAAGCTCTTGCTCAACCCAGTGGAAAGCAGGAGTGAAAATACGATGTGTGTTGAGGGCTATTTGTTGCACAAGGAGGCTTGAGTGCCACTGGATCTACGTTATGTGTAGAGAGTCACATCCAGCCACCTTGTGAATGGGAGTGTGAGTGAATGGGGTTGTGCAGTTGTGTCACATTGTGTTACAGGAGCATCTTTACTACATGTAGGAGAAGTAACTCGATGTGGAAAACACAAGTCACTACCTTCATAAAGCTGTACATAATACATAAAATGTGTCATTTTAAAAATTCTATTGTAATCAATGGACCCAGCTCCTTTAAATTTATTTTTTTATTCTTCTGAGAACTCTTTTACTTTCAGAAAGCCTATCTCTGTAATTGAGAATTACTTGGTGCATGAAAGGCTTGCAGTTTCTGATCCAGTGTCTCCTGGAGTAACGATTAGCAAAGCTGACATAAAAGAGGTAAAATCAGCCAGTGGATGAGAATCTGGAAAGTAAGCCCCAAGGTTGATTCCTGGCACTGATCCATCACTCCCTGCTGGCATCAATCAATGTACATCATATAGTAGTAGAATATATGGCTTTATTGTAGAGGAAACAATGACATCCTGATCTATTACTCCTTGTCCCAAACAAGAAGAGTAGGAACCTAAAACCTGATGTTGATGTCATTGGAACAGTTGCTTTTGCTTCTAGCAAAATGAAGTAATTTTATATTTTTTGCTGATTGAGATTACATTTCTTACCAGTATAGTAAAAATTTTGGATACTATTACACAAATTATATCGGTTTTGCCTACAGATGATACCTTATGGTGCTGGTAGATACTTTCAGGAGTAATTCTCCATGTCTAACTTAAATGACTATTTTAGGTAATGAACGAACCATCTTCTGGAATTGCAATTCTCTCTTTACAAATTATGCATTGAGATGATAATCCATGATATGTCCAATCTGTAGGTGGTTAAAATTATGTGAGATGAATCCCTTTATGCAGTAATTTTAGTGAGGGTTTCTTGTGGTACTGTTAGCAGCTGAATTGTTAAAGTAGACTATATTATACAGCTACCAGGATACAGTAAGCATAAGGGAGATTCATTAGTCTGAAAGACTCTGAAATTGTGATGTATTTACATACAGCTCAGTGTGAAACTAGGGCTGTTTCATTAATTTTATTGCATTAAGACAATTACCCTTTTCCTGAGTTTGTTTTGAGCTAACCAGAGATGATGCTTCATCTTCCATTTGATTTATATCTCTGTACCTATTTGTACAGAATATTTGGAAACTTCCTCAAGATCAGATACTGAATTGAGTTTTAAGCAATACAGAAACCCCAAAGATGAAAGACACCCAGAAGAATCAGAGAACGACTGCAGTATTGCAAAACAACACTGTCGAGAGGACCCTTACTGCTTTTTGGTGTACAAGAGCTTCCAGCGAGCATGCCAGCTGGATGCAGCAAAATGCAGGCTCCCAGTGGTCAACCAGGAGTGTTTGTCAGCGTGGAAAGAACTGAGGAAAACAGTGCTGGGAGAGTGTAAGTGCTCAAAGCCACTTCGGAGGAGATGCGTTAAAATATGGAAGGGAATATTTAACAACTCTTGTTTACAACACTCTCAAGAGAGCCAAGCTTCAGCAGCTAGTGAAAATGATGATGAAGATGATGATGATGATGATGAGAAAAATCACGACACTGATGCAGGTTAGTGGTGTTCCAGCAGTCTGAATGGTTTCATTCTTAACAGTAGTGTGCACAAGTCTGTGAAAAAGGGTTTCTTAATCATTTGCAGTTAACATTGGAAATAGGATAGTTTTCAGAGGCTTATTTAGATGTAAATGAAAAATCTGGTAGCAAAATGATAGCATGATTGAAAATGCTATTGTCCTTCAGTGTATTAATTTAATGCAACCTGATCCAAATCAGGCCCTTTTAGTATTACACTATAACTAGAAATATAAGACCAATAACAAAAATTTTCTAACAGCAAGAATTGTCTGCCTGCCTTGACTTTAGATCACAAGCAGTTAGTTGAGCTTGAAAATGGTGCATTGATGAGCACATTAAGGCCTCTGGCCTTTATTTATTCACAAGAAATCTGACTTTATCTTGGACTGAGCAGCTCTAAAAACTCTGCTTGAGCTCGCAGGATCTATAACTGTAGAATAATAGACTCATAGAATGCATTAGGTTGGAAGGGACCTCTAAAGGTCATCTAGTTGAACCCCCCTACAATAAGCAGGGACGTCTCTAACTAGGTCAGGCTGCTCAGAGCCCCATCAAGCCTGACCTTGAATGTCTCCAGGGATGGGGCTTCCACTACCTCTCTGGGCAACCTGTTCCTGTGATCCACCACCCTCTTATTAAAGAACTTTTTCTTAATGTCCAACCTAAATCTGCCCTTTTCTAGCTTAAAACCATTACCCCTCATCCTATCTCTACAAACCATTGTGAACAGTTCTTCCCCTGACTTCTTATAGGCCCCCTTCAGGTACTGAAAGGTTGCTATAAGATCTCCCTGGAGCCTTCTCTTCTCCAGGTTGAACAACCCCAACTCTCTCAGTCTGTCTTGATAGGAGAGGTGCTCCAGTCCCCTGATCATTTTCGTGGCCCTCCTCTGGACAGGCTCCATCAGGTCCATGTCCTTCTTGTGTTGGGGGCTCCAGAGCTGGACGCAGCACTCCGGGTGAGGTCTCACCAGAGCAGAGTAGAGGGGCAGAATCACCTCCCTCGACCTGCTGGCCACATTTCTTTTGATGCAGCCCAGGATGCAATTGGCCTTCTGGGCTGCAATTGTGCACTGGTGGCTCATGTCCAGCTTTTCATCCACCAGTACCCCCAAGTCTTTTTCCACAGGGCTGCTCTCTCTAATTATGTAGAGTGTTATCAGCAGCCATAGATAAACTGTGCTTTCACCCCAAAACTTATGAATATATGTAACAGTGATCTTGAAGTTTTTTAACAAGCTGACAGGTCCTATTTGGTCGAGCTAATCTGTTTTAGTCTCATTTATTTTTACTACTGGCACTATGCCAGCAACACAGACAATACTGTAAATTTAAAAACTAAGCTAAGACATGATTTATCACTTATGCCTGCATCCATATCTTTTTGTTCTAGATAATCTTGGTACAGAAGCAAAATTACAATGGAGTTTATCTGCTCTCTCCAAACAAGGTAAGTCTGAATTTACTTATGAATCCTGATAACTGGTTTTAGCTCTGTTTTCAGACAGTGTACAATATATCTCAAGATTAAAATGAATACTTTTCATTCAAATTACTGATGAGCATGGAGTTGATAGATCAAACATATTTTCAGTTAAGCTACTGGGTAAATAAGAACCAAAAAATGTCAGGTAACAATCCTGATCCTGTTAAATTTAGAGGCAAATCTTATCCCATAACATTTTAGGGTCAGAATTATGTAGATCTTTTTGGAAGGTTTGTAGCATAGGCTAGAAATACATAAACTAGCTTTAAAAGCACAGAAATGCCATTTATATTCTCTTCTCTATTACTTATTACGTAGTCTAGCATGCTGGAGATTTCAGCAGTTTCAGGTAGCCACTAGCCACTAGCTTACAAAAACTTTACATACCATGAAGAATCTTCCATCTTGACAGTTTTCGCTTTCTTCTGCCTTATTTATCTGGCAGGGGCAGAAACTTGCAGGAGGGTTTCTTGTGAGGGCCAAGCAGTGGAAGGGAGGAGTGGGAAGATCACACGATGGGCTTAAAACAGGCAATGCTGGAAGAGCTGGGTCAGAGTTTTGGGGAGTCAAACTTATTTTTAATAGGAAAGTTGGAGGCAGGATGGCTACCAAGCATCACTTGAGAAAGGTTTTCTTGTGACTTCATTTTAAAAAGTGTTATTCTTTTTAGCATACACAGCAAACAGAACCTGTTTGGATGTGAACAAGGAGTGTGTTGAAGATGAAGTATGTAACAAACAGTTGTCCCTGTACCTTAAGATTTGCTCAGTAAATAAGAAATGCAACATGGAAGAATGTCAAGCAGCCATAAGGTTCTTCTATCGAAACATGCCTTTTGAAGTCGCCCAAATGATGACATTTTGTGATTGTATCCAGCCTGATGAATCCTGCCACAAAGCCAAAGAACTTCTCCATGGCAAACCCTGTGCAGTTACTGCAGTTCCACCTCTATCATGTCTGAAAGTAATCCACATGTGTGAAGAGAATGAATTGTGCAGGTAAGTAGAAGAAAGATTTTGCCTAGTAATGTGTCTGTGAATAAGGATTTGTTCAAATAATTTTTATATATATACCATATATCTCATCCATAGCAGGTTTTTTTTTTCTGCACCATATCTGTTGTATATTATCACTTGTATTTGACGTTTTCACAGATGTCTGCATCAGCTGTGGCAATTCCACAAGTAATTCCACAAGTAAACTGAAAAGGTTCATTTTCAGAAAGGTCTAGAATCTAGTGTGGGCTTTGCTTCTGCTGCTTTCATGACTCTTAATATCATTTCTGCTGGACAAACTGTGCCATAGCGTGTTTTCATTATCACTCTCTTCAGATAACGCTTGCCAGTCTTGGACCTTTGCCCTTTAGCAGTTTGCACAAATTGTGCAGCAGACCAGACGAAGTTTGTTTGGTTAAAGTGATTACTTCTTCCACCGCAGAGTCTGACCCTTCGTACCCAATGGCCATACAACTAACTTGGCCCGTTCAGAAAACTGTTGTCTTATTCTTTTCATCTCAAGCATACTGATACTTGAAAAAAGCTGCCCTGAAACATGCGTAGACCACCAAACTCATGAAGAATAACACGGTTTTCAGATTTGATTTTATTTTAGAAAACATGCAACAGGATTAGCCCGTATTCATAGCTCTTAATTGCTACCATTTGTGCATGGTCAATTGTCTTACCTTGGTTTTCAGTGTCATCACCAGTTCCCCTGTGGATTAGACCTGAACTTTAGCTCAAAGCTGTTTTGGGAACATTAATGTTTCCTGGCACTGATAATAAGTGGATATAATTAGCAAAATTAGTCTGTGAATTATGCCTAGCCATATCTATAAATCAGGAGGTGAATAAAAACAATTCCATTAGCACAGAGGTGGCATCTGCTTTGAAACCTTTGCTTGTGTGATGAAAATATTTACAATAATGTCCTATCTGGTAGTGTAACAGTCCATGTTTTGCCATGTGACTTGCTTGTTAGAGTTACACAATATTAACAGTAAATACATAGCCCAATTTTACGATTAAGGATTTAATGTTTTAATATATCAATATATTAATGTACAATATACAACAACAGTTTACCTTTATTGTCCCCTGATATTTAATGTAAGTGATAAATTGTTTTTTAATTAATATCTAGAGATTCCTTAGTTAACTTTTAATAGATGTTTTCTATTGTCATCTGTAATGCATTAAAGGCCAATTTTATGCTATCCTAAGAGCAAATAAACTGAAATAATTTGAGATTATTGGGCTGGGAAACAAGTTAATTCTTCTCATGATTTATCTCTGCTATCATTAATCTTTAAGGTCAACTGAATTAATTTTTCCTGAGCCTTGGGCATTTTGTATTTTGTTAGCATTCAGGGGGTAGGAGGGCTTGGCACTGGATGTAGATTATTTTATGTAAAATAAGTTAAATATTCATTCTTCCTTCACACTGCCCAACAAACTGATCCACTAGAACAGCACCTGTTTTGGTTTCACTGTGATGACTGGTCTAATTCCTCTATCGACATTTCTTCCCTGATGATCCGAGACTGTTGGTATTCACACTGATTTTTCCTGGGCCCTGGGAAAAATCTCCACAGGTGCTGATTAGAAGTGCAGTTGTTTTTTTTATCAAAAACTTTTAAAGTAAAACCCAAGTTTTTCCTCAAACTACAATTTCGCAGATTTCGTTCAAACCAATTAGGTGCAAATCAGAGGAGAATTTAGGCCAGCTGTCATTGAATATTGTGATTTTTAAGGCTTAAGTGGTACCTTGGGAACACGCTCACTTTTCATGATGATCCTTAAATATCTATTTGTGAAATCACAGAGTTTTAAGCTGTCATTGTATACTTCTTTTTTTTTTCCACCAGGAAAACATACACAACTTTTCGGTCAAAATGTTGGAGACATGTGACAAAAAAATGCTACAATGATGAAGCTTGTCTTGAAACTTTAATCAAGGGTGACATGCCCTGTTCTGCAAACCCTGATTGCAAAGCAGCTTACATTAGCAACTGGGGCACGATGCTGCGCATGGAGTGTACCTGCCAGAATTTACCTCCAGCGGAGCAGTCTTTGTGCCAGCTCTTTCTTCACATGCTTCACAGCAAATCCTGCTTCAGTGCATTACGTGAGTAACACATAACACTTTAAAGAATAATTAGTTTTAAAGAGTATTAAAATGCTGACTTACACCAAGTCTTTCCTCTATCTTTGCTACCACTGATCTCTGCAAGATTTGTATTTTTGGTTTTTAATTGAAATAAAAAATTTTCTCTGGTTTGGGGAAATATTTTATATTAGTAGTAAGTCAATAAAATCAACTACATGTCCCATTACATGAATTTGATGGAATAACAATAAAAGAATAATTTCTGGGGCCTATAATATTATGCAGATTAGAAAAGTTCCAAAGCCTTCCTGTTGTTGTCTTAATGTTGTACTTCGGTACATTGTTTTTACAAATAGTGTGATACATTATGGTTTTTTATTTCTTTCTTTTCTTCTTGGAGTCTAAATATTAGCATCGCTTACACACATTTAGCAACAGACTTCATTCCACAGAAAATAATTTCCAATGATTTAAATAGGACCTCTAAAGAAAAAGCTGCTGTGAATGGAGGCTTCAGTATTTGGCCTTCAGTAAAAACACTGGGATTAGCTCAGATGAAATGTATGTACTTTCTCAGAACCAGAAGAGCCTTTCATGTGCTAAATCAGCTACTTATTTTTGTTAAATATAAAAGTCCTTGTCAAATCTTTGTTTAAGAGAGAAATGTGAGTGCAGTGAATGGCAATATGGGAGCAAATACTAATGTTTTAGCCTGAATTGTCAGTGTGCCATTGAATCAAATCCCCTGTTTATCCCCACTTATTGTGCTGTGGGTCACATCACAGGGTGGTTCCTGGACTTCTGCAGCCTAAAACTGAACCTGAAGGTTCATCTGCCACCTTTGCAATGCTCCAGATACTTCCAGGCATCCCGTCCATGGACCAAATTAAAGACCAAAGTACCCTCCTCTCCTTAGGTCTATCACACCAGCTATTTTTCTGTATAAATCAGTTTAGGATACACTACTTGCCAGTGCATCATACCCTATGCCAGTTATCTCCTATATGTAATTATATATATTCTCAACCTGGCTTGGGAGAGGTAACTATATCTAAAGATTTCAACAAAAAGCAATGAAATTTCATAGTTCCATCTGATGGACTGTCCTTTAAAAACATATATTAATTGCATGCATGCATTTCATTGAATGAATTGGCTAATTTTTTAGTTTTAGCAGGCAAAATGTTACCACTGATAATGGGTGTAATTTTTTCTTGTCATTCAAAGTCTACCCAGAAATTAAAATCAATTCAAACACTGCCCTTAAGCCTAGTTAATCACTACCAAAATTCAGACTTTGAGAAAAGTTTAAAAATCTTATGCCAACTCCCCTGGAAAAGTGATACCATAACACTGTTAGATTTGAGACTGCAATCGTGGTGTTTTGCTGACGAGCATTATTTATTTGTTTGCTTTATGGCTACATCTAACGGTCCAAATGAGTGATCACATCATTATGTTACTTATTCTTAAGTAACAAAAAGATGACGTTCATGTCATAATAATCAAATAATTGCTCATCAGCTTTTGCCATTCCCTGCAGCAGTGTGTTTTTTGATGGAAACTTCCCTAACCTAATTGGGATTGAAGAACAGAAGCTTGCTTGCTCCTGTGCTGAAATGAATTCCTGCTAGTTAAACAAGTTGAGCTGAGAACAGCTGGGGGATCCAGGGCCTTCAGCTGAGTGAAGGACTGGCACCTACTCTACAAAACATTTTTAGAGTCTTTTGAATCTTGCTTTTGTTTTTTCTAGACATCTAGTTGTAATGCAGCTAAACTGAAGAGAGAGATGATTATGGGTTTGGTTGTAAGGCATCGTGTTAGATGCCATTATCTCCATGGCAGTTCAGAGATGTGGAGTGAGCGCGCTAATGCAGACCTCATCCAACCCCTTCTGCAAATTTATTCACCTGGCCTGGGTGTGAACTTTGGCTAACTTTCACTCTTACAGTGGTGAAGACTCTTACACTGAAGTCTTTCTGAATAGCCAAATACCAGGCCTATCCAAAGGGATCTTTGCCTCTAGACCTGGTGTGAACAGACCTGCAAGTGGTGTCGACACCATCACACCTTTCGACTCTTGTATGGCACTGTCTTGCTTCAAATGTTTGCTCTTGGGGCTGCACTTATAGGATTAAAGCTTGCTGTGGACTCAGCCAAAGTCAGAACTGTGAGTAACTGGTTGCTATATGAGATGGAAGCACAGTGTGGAACAGTGCCAACGCAGGATCGGTGTCACAACAGGAAAAAACAAAAATGCCAGTGACAGAAAGTAGAAAGTTGAGTTTCCAAAATATTTTAACTCTGGGTTGTGCTTTGGATCTCATAGAAACACTACACTACAAGGAGATTTAGTCCATTGCTATTTAGATGACACTCCAGGCTGCAAACATGAGTCTGTCATATTGTTTTCATTCCTCTAGAGAATAAAAATTCCTCATCTTACAGTTCATGTGGGTGACCATGCATATTCTTGCATGGTTTAGCTTCTTGCTCTGTAAACTGTTCTTCTTAGGTAGACCTTTTATTTGTCATTTCAACAGAAGATACGTATTTTCAGATACATTAATGAAATTATGCCCACAAAGGTCTAGCAATTCATTTGGAGAATAAGCTTTGCCTTTTGGAAATTATTTCAAACTACTACCCATTTCTCATCACTTCTATATTGATTTGGTGGACCCACTTCTTTTGGTGGGCCTGTTTCTAGGACTGTTTCTCTGAAAAGAGAATGTAAGATGTTTTGAGGCAGAGTATTTTTAAAGCACACTTGTCCCACATAAGACAAACTACAGGGGAGGTATAACTGAGATGTCAAAGGAAGAACTTTCATTCACTTTGTTCATTGAGTATCAGTAAACAGTATTTTTAAATAGCTGCCTTTATAAATTCTGTGACTCTTATCAAAACGCCAAACAGTAATTTTCACTTAAATTATTATTTTAAAGTAATATTTTGAATTGATATTTTCTTTTCAATATTCAGGTCAAATTTCCATTAAGAGGAAAGGTTTTCATTTGGTAAATACAGAAATACCAGGAGAAAGGCTTTCCAGAGCACAGCTCCATTCTTCTTCAATTAATGGTGAGTTGGTCAAATTGCTCTATGATTTTAATAGAAGTACTCTTGAGATTTCCGTTGTGTATGATAGGGAAAGCTAAAGGTTGGGTCCCTTGGGTGGGTTCAGGCAAGTGAGCTCTTCCTGTTGCTCCCTATTCAACATAATGTGGAAAAATCTCTCTACCTGTTTGGCTTAGTTCCTATAACCACAAAATAAAGATAATGAGACTGAACCAGCTTCTCTGATAAGTGGTTTTGAAATAGATGTTTCACAACCACTATATTATAATTGGGGAAAATCAAGCTATTAATCCAGCCAGAGCCTGACTCTCCATATAGCCAGTAAAGAGTAGTAGTCATAACGTGTAATACAAATCATTAGCTTTGATGTCACACCTACTTCTCTCCTGTCTCTCTTGACGTTTTGTACCATAGTAGTTACAACAACAAAATTAGGAAGCCACAGCGAGTGGGCTGAGAAGGGCTTGTGTTACACTCCATCAGACTTTACCTTATTGTGTAACAGAAGGGCACACAATTGCAGATCATGATATCCCATGGGCTGAAGAGCTCCATCTGGTTTTATTTGCATGCATTTACAGTAGCAATTAAGTGACATAAAGTTAAAGGATATTGAATTAATATACAAATTTTCTCATGGTTGAAATAATATTAATTTTATATTTCCTTTCGAAGGACCCAATTACAGAGTGAGAACACTAAAGAGCTTAATGCACAAATATTGACTCTAATGAGAATGACCTGTTCTACCTTGCATGGGGCAGATTACAGTACTCCAGACATTACTACAAATTAGTTCCCAGAACTGTTCATACTGAACACCCTTAACAATGCAAAAATAATTCAAGCTCTGCATGCAGTACAAAATCAAGGGGTTTCTATCATCTCCATCCTTCAACTATTGCTGAAGTGGGCAAGCTGGGAAGTATAAAAATAAATTCATTGCAATGGGATTCCTGAGACCTGTATGTGAATAATCAAGCATTCACCTGCAATTTTAGCATTGAAATTACTTGCCTAAGAATCATGCACATCATCTAAGTGCTCTGTGTAGCCAGTGAAGAAAGTCAGGGACCCTCAGAAGAAGATTAATCCCACTTTTTCAGACTGTGTCCTGGAAGTGTTGGCTTCTCTTTCCCAGCTACAGGGGCAGTCTGAATCTCTAGCTGGAACGAGACTCTAGTGGTTAAATAATGCAAGTTATAATGCAAGAAATCCTGCTTTAAGTGAGAAAATGTACAATGTGAGATATTTCACCCCTGTGACTAGCTCTAACTGCAGACCTTTCCCTCAGAGACTCAGATAAATGTTTGCAAAATGCAGCCTGCACCCAGTTAATTCTGTTCCCATTGAAGTCTGAACACTTTCCAAAAACCTGCCCTTGAACTCTCAACAGAATTTTGGATAGCCTTAGAAAAATAAAAAGAATGCTGACCAGCCTAAACCATACAATAAAATATTCCTTCTATTGGAGCTGTCATGTACACTAGCTGGGAACTCTCTAAGCTATAAATGTCTCATAGGAAACCAGGTCAAGGAGAAGAATCTGATTCAGGATATCTACCTGATGATAAAAACCATATTGCAAATTGTTTCGTAAATCCCACTGCCAAAAATCGAACACAGTATCCTAGATTCATATGCTAGCGAATGCGCATTACTCAGGCTGCCAAGGGAGTTATCATCTTTACAAAATATTTATCTTTTCTGAAATCAAATCCCAAGAAAAATCCCAGGGTACAAAACAGTGAAGTTGTCAAATATGGCCTTTTGTGTGCGTGAAGATATTTGAAGGTATATTTGCTTCTTGGCTATTTTCTGCTTGGAAAGCAGGAGATACAAATTGCTGATGTCTTGTCCCTACATCAAAATCTCAGAAGAATCCTTCACTTAGCTTGTCATTGAAAGATACAAGGATTTCTTTTCCCAATTCCGACTAGTGACT